GTCTGAAGTTTGATTTCATGACAAACTTCCAGGTTATAAAACTGCTGAATAATAAGCTACATCTTTAACACACTGCAGAGAAAGTCAGAAATATGCTCAGTGTAACAATTCCAAACTACAATCAAATGTAGAGGAGAGTCCAGGACACAAAAAACAGAAGAAGTTCTTTACTCAAATGTCCGTAGCTCGTACCCAGGAAGGCCGTCAGTGAGGGCAGAAAAATCCAACATGGGCAAATCCACAAAATCCAAAATCCAATCAAAGTTGAAAACCGGGCGAGCAAACACGAGGAGAATAAGTCTGGAAAGCATAAAACACTAAGGAGACAATGACAATCTGTCAGAGGGCTGGTGGAAACACAGGGGGATATATACAGGTCACACTAACACACAGGTGTGTTGGGACAAAAGGCAGGAAACAGCAATGGCAGGAAGTCAGACTAGATATCATACACAAGCAGCAGTTATTCTACAATTCACTTAGCAGACGCTTTTATCCAAAGCGACGTACATCAGAGAGTAAGGATCTAGAAAAAAGGGAACAATGTCAGTAAGAGCAAACGATCAGCTTTGAGTCCGATTGGACACACAGGTGCTGACAGGAAGTGACCAGAGGCAAAGCACAACATTGAGGGCAGTCGATTATCAATTATCAGTCATCGTTATCAAACAAAAACAATCGTCACAACCATCATCAACATCAATGATATCGAAACCATTATCATTAAGTTAGTAGGTATTCATGAAAGAGCTTTTTCTTAAAAGCTCTTTCATGAAGCTTTTTCTTAAAAGTGGTTTGGTAGTTCATTCCACCACTGGGGGGCAACAGAGGAAAAGAGTCTAGTCAGCGTCTTAGGCCCCTTTTGTTAAGGTTGGATCAGACGCCTTTCATTGGCAGAGCGTAGTGGGCGGGAGGGAGTGTAGACCTGGATGAGAGAGTTAAAGTAAGGAGGAGCCGTTTTTGTCGCTGTTTTGTAAGTGAGCAGCAGAGTTTTAAATTTGCCGGGGGGTTTTTTTCGTGTACGTAGGAAGACCTGCCAGTAGAGAGTTGCAATAGTGCGTGATATCACAAGAGCCTGTACCAGGAGCTGTGTAGCATGTTCTGACAGATAAGGTCTGATCTTCCTGATGTTGTACAGGGCAAATCGACATGACCGGGCAATCGAGGCTACTTGAACCTTAAAAGTTAGCTGGTCATCAATCATGACACCCAGGTTCCGGGCAGACTTTGTGGGCATGCGTTTGGTTGTTCCAAGCTGAATATTGATCTGTGGTTGCATAGAGGGACTGGCTGGGATGACAAGGAGCTCAGACTTTGAAAGATTGAGTTGAAGGTGGCGTTCATTCATCCATTTAGAGATATCAGCAAGGCATGACGAGATTGTTGCTGAGACTGTAACATCGTCTGGTGGGAATGACAGGAAGAGCTGGGTATCGTCAGCATAGCAGTGGTATGAGAAGCCATGAGAGCAGTTTATTAAACCAAGTGAGCTTGTGTATATGGGGAAGAGAAGGGGACCAAGCACTGACCCTTGAGGTACCCCTGTGGATAAACTGCACTTTGGACACTTCTCCCTTCCACGACACTCTAAAGGATCGCCTAGAGAGGTAGGACATGAACCAGCAGAGGGCAGATCCTGAGATGCCAAGTTCAGAAAGCGTGAATAGGAGGATTTGATGGTTGACTGTGTCAAAGGCAGCAGACAGGTCTAGCAGTAATAGAACTGAGGACTGACCCGCAGCTCTGGCAGCTCGTAGCGATTCTGTTACTGACAGTAGTGCAGTTTCAGTAGAGTGGCCCTGCTTAAAGCCTGACTGATTTGGGTCAAACAGATCGTTTCTGGACAGGAACTCCGAGACTTGCTTAAAGACTGTGCGCTCAAGTATTTTTGACAGAAAGGGCAGTAGTTTTCAACCTGGGCTGGGTTTAGTGTGGGTTTTTTGAGCAGAGGGGTGACCCGCGCTTGCTTGAATGCGGTGGGGAACACACCCGTTGACAGAGAGGAGTTGATGAAATGTTTAGTGCAGCATTAAGCAGAGAGGAAATGGTCTGCAGGAGAGTCTAGCACAAGCTTAGAGACTTCGTCCTCAGTCAGAGAGGAGAATGAGTCGAGTGAGGCACTTTTGGTTGGTGCCTTTGGGCTGAGATGGTCAGGCTCAGAAAAGTGGTTACTGATGGTTGCAACCTTTTCAGTAAAATACGAGGCAAACATGTGTGTGAACCGATCGGAAGGTGGAAGAGGAGGTGGTTGAAGCAATGAGTTGAAAACAGAAAACATTTTTCTTGTATCTGTGGCATTGCATATCTTGTTCTGATAATATGTTGTCTTGGCCGTTTTCAGGCTGGAGGAGAATGAGACAAGTCTTTGCTTATGGTCATTGAGGTCAGCGGACTGTTTGGATTTTTGCCATTTTCTCTCTGCTGACCTCAGCCCTGCTCTTTGCTCTCTTATGTCTTCAGTGAGCCATGGACTAGGGTGGGTTTTGCGAGCAGGTTTGGACACCAGAGGGCAGAGTGTGTTCAGAGATGAAGCTAGCGTGGAGCAGAGTATGTCTGTAGCCTCGTCTGTTGAGAGTGTGGTAAATACCTTATGGGCAGGCATGGCAGCCATTACCTTGTTAGACTGAGCTGGCTTAAGCAATCGCATGTTTTGGTAGTATGACAGCATTTGTGCTGAGATTGTGAATTTAATAAAGAAGTGGTCTGGTAGATGCAGAGGGGTGACAGTCAGGTTTGCTGTAAAGCAGTTCCGAGTCAGAATTTAATCAAGAGTGTTGCTATCTTTGTGGGTAGGAGGAGTTGGGACCTGCGTGAGGTCAAATGAGGATAGAAGAGCAAGGAAATCTGTTGCCTGGGCTTTATCAGTGTGTATATTCATGTCTCCCATTACAATCAGTGGTGTTCCATCATCAGGGATTTCTGAGAGTAGCATGTCCAGTTCCACAACAAAATCATTCAGATTACACCCTGGTGGGCGGTTAATGATCGCAATGTACATTTTAATAGGAGCAGTAACCATAATTGTGTGATATTAAAATGAGGAGTTGTTGTTCAGTGGCAAGAGTTTATTGAATTTCCAGGTATTAGAAATGAGGATACCTGTTCCACCTCCACGTCCAACAGAGCAGTTTGGTGTGGGGGGTGGAGAGCAGGCCTGTGGCTGCCCCCGGCAAGTCTAGGGCTGGGGGATATGGACCATAACTCATATCTCGATATTGTTTAGCTGAATGGCGTATATCGATATGTCTTTTATTAACAGTGAAAACACATGGAAAATACTACCTGTTTGTGAATTTAAAAAGTAAGATTATAAAATAAAAATGTTCCTTAAATACAATAAAAGAGAGAACTAAACTAAACTTCCTGTTTAGTGAGAAGGGAGGAAGGAATTAGTGTATGATTTCAGACACGACCTAAGAATAACAGTCAGTTTCCTGTTTTCATCTTCTGATTTCTGCACCATTTCTTCTTCAAGTTTTCAAAACTAGGAAGAAAATAAAGCTTTGGTTTTGGTATTTCAGTGTCTCTCTGAAGAACACCTGGGTTTACAGATACAGAAAATTATTTCATTCTGAACATTTATAGAAACCTCACAGGCCTCGTGGTGTCAGACCACTCCTACAGGACTCAATTCAATTCAAACAACTTAATTAATCCCTCTTGGGGTAATTGGTGTGGAGCAGCTTGTACATATGAGAGAAACATAAATAAAGGCAAGTTGACGTACAAAGAACAGATTACTCAAGGAGTTAAAATATAGATAAGAACTAAAAGAGGTACTAATGTTAAGGAGCATTCAGTAATCTGATCACAGAGGGATGAATGATTTCAATCAGAGGTTAGTTTTACAGGCAGGTAAAACATAAAGATGACGTGAAGGCAGCAGAGAAAATTCTCTAAAGAGTGCATGACCAGAAGAAGCTAAAATACTCTGAACCTTCCTGAGGCTCTGCTGTTTACAAAAAGAGTTAAAATCTCTCTGTTTCACACCTCAGAACAGATTTGACCAATTCCTGTACGACTGTTTCTGTCTTTAACTGAGAGGCTGTGAAACCAACAGATAAAAGAAAAACAAAGGAGACTCTCAACAAAAGAATGATAAAAATGACAAAGTATTTCAGGACTGACTGAGAAAGAGTTCAGTTTCCTTAAAAGGTGGATTCTCTGTTGCCCCCTCTTCACAAAAGCCTCTGTGTTGACATCAAATTTAAGTTGGTTGTCCAAATACAAGCCCAAGTATTTGGAAATGGAATGGTAAATGGACTTGAGCTTACTGAATATAGCGCTTTTCTAGTCTTCTGACTACTCAAAGCACTTTTACACCGCAGGTCACAACTACACATTCACACCCTGATGGTAGAGGCTGCTGTGTAGTGAGACCATCAGAAGTAACTAATCCCATTCATACGCATTAACACGCCGCCGACGAAGCAGCGGGAGCAATTTGGGGTTAAGTGTCTTGCCCAAGGACACATCGGACATGTGGCTGCAGGAGCTGGAGATCGAACCTCCGACCTTCCGGTTAAGAGACGACGACTCTACCAACTGAATTACAGCTGCCCTGTGGAGATTGGAGAGTACGACCCTACAATCGCCACAGTTTTATTATGGATGTTGCACTCTGTGGCTGCCTCCCTCTTAAGTCTGAAATCAAAGAGTAATTCCCTGCTACACTGCTGCAGAAATAACAGGCCTCCATGTAGACCTCTGACTGCTGCTATGACACACTACGACCACTAGATGGAGCCCAACATGAAGATACAAGAAGTGATCAGTTCTGTTCTGCTGCCACAACAAGCACCAAACTCTCCTGATACATGAGAGTGACTGTAATAAATGTATGAACTCTAGCATCTTATTCACAAAGAAGATACAATAACTTTAATGAGACTCTTCTTCTCAGATCAGATCAGATCAGTCTATTGCAGCTGGTATTTCACAACAGCCCTGTGACTCAGATGGTAGAAACGAGCTGTAGTTAGAGGCGGAGCCACAGAGCTTCAGCGTCACTCTGAAGAAATGAAACTTAAAGTTTGTCAGGGTGTCGACCACGCAGCCGTCCAGAAAGGTCTCCGTTTCTCTTCAAAGAAATTAAACTAACTTCATCCAATCTTTGTCAACGACACAGCAGAGTCTCTGCAAACACTGGTGAGTACAGCTGATCATGTTTACACTTTGAACAACCAGGATTTACACTCAACTCTTCATTTCACTCTCTCTTCATACTCAAGCTTGTTAAACTGTGTGTGTGTGCGTGTGTATTTGTTTGTAACTGAGTTTCTCTCATTTGGATTTTAGTTCAGTTCTAACTTCCTGGTATCGTTGTTGTTCACTGATAACATCCTGCAGCCAAACTGAATTCTATTTCCTCTGGCTGTTTCACAGTAAAAGCCTTGACATGGAGAAACCACAATGAGGCTTTTAATTTTAAGAAAGCAGAGAAGGAAGTGAAATTTGGTTTCATACAAGTAAAACAAGTTGTTTCTACAAGTGTTTTTGACGACCTTACGATGGCCAATTACAAAAAAAAAAACTTTCGAAAACACAAGCACCCTCTATAGCTGATTTTGACCTTTACTGTTGTGCAGATGATTTTTTTAGTGTAACATTTTACTACTTACAAATTTCCCTTCCTTTTCTGATTTCTTCAAATTAATAGCCTCATTGTGGTTTCTCAATGTCAAGGGTTTTATTGTGAAACAGCCAGAGGAAATAGAATTCAGTTTGGCTGCAGCATGTTATCAGTGAACAACAACAACAATACCAGGAAGTTAGACTTGAACCAAAATCCAAATGAAAGAAACTCAGTTACACACACACATTCCTGTATATGCTCACAAGTGAGGTCCTGGACAGTTTATATTGGGAGTGGGGACCACCCTTCTGTTATACTTAGAGGCAAATGGATTATATATTTAACATTAGGTGTCTTCCTCATTCAGGTTTTCACCTCGGCTTTTTAAAAAACCCAAAGGAAAAATATCCAGTTTTAAAGCATTGTACCACTTGAGAGAGGTGGTGTATGGTGGTTTTACTTTATTTCTGTTAGACAAATAACCTATTATCTGTTTTTACCTTTAAGAAATTATTTGCCACCATTTAATGTTGTACTTGAGACGTCTATGTAAAAATAAATCATTTGGAAGCATTGTCAAGAGAATCACACTTTGATGTTAATGGATAAAAACAATATCTAAAATGAATGCTCTCCCCCTCCTTAAGATGAATGTTTAAGAGTATAGTTTTATATTTACTGTATTATTACTCTCCTCCTGAAGCACATTAGGACCATAACACTACAAAAAAATATACATGAAATGCCAGTTAAAAGAAGTTACTTTTATTGTCATGAACTCAACTTACTGTGTTGATTACTTATTAATCTTTGTAAAGGTCACACATTATTTACAATACACTTCACCATGTTCCTCTAACACTAACATGTGTCTGTAGTCTGTCTACAAACCCCCAATGATGAGAAAAGTCCATCCGCTTTGTCTTTTGCCTGCTCCATTTTTCAGAAAATGTGTGCTCAAACAGGCCGTTTGGAGATTTTCTCTTCATGACATCACAAAGGGCAGTAGCCCCTCCCCCAGGTGGGTAACAGTCCCACAACTAGGGGTTTGTTCTGCCCTCTGAGTCTGCCTTCTCACCATAAACAATAGGACATGGAGCGAGAAAGCACCGAGTACACCCAAGCCCTCCAGAGGGGGCACAGAAACAGCCTGTTCTGAGCAGGGCTGAAATAGAGGGGTTTATAGGCATGATCAAATACAGGATCAGAGTGGATTTAGAACAAGAAACTTCACACACATGATTTGAGGAGCTCTGAGACTTATTTAAACTGGTTAAAAAGGAGGGGGATATGTGACCTTTAATATTCATAAATTTGAAGAAGTTATAAAATTGTGCAATAGAGTGGACATCATGCAACATTGCAATACAATACATTTTTTCAGTTTGTCATATGTCCAATGGGGTGGAGAGAATCATTTATAGTTTCTTGAATTTTAATTTAAAAGGTCTTCCGTCTTTTAGTTTTGGAGCTGTCTCATACAGGAAAACAATATTTAATTGGGTAAAATGTTGGTCGATTCAATTATCATATAACAAGCACAGAATATTCCAATATATTACAAGAAAAACCTGACAATTTGACTTAGTGCAACAATACATCATGACTGCAGGATACAAGAACACAGTGGGATGAAAAACAAAACACCAGGTCTCCAGTACTGACAAATATTGACCGGTTTTAAAGGCTTAATAAGCGATTTTTCACTTAGATGTAATAGAAATCAAGTATATCCTCTGAAAATAACTGTGAGTCATGACTGTCTACAATGGGTGTAACACCCGAGTCCCACTGTCTGTGATGTTTTCTGAGTTTTCCGAGTCCTATCTTGACTTTGTTTACATTGGTGGGACGGCCGGCTGGCTCCTCCCCTCGCGTATAAAAGTTGTTTAATTGAGGGAATAGAAGAATAACATACTGTACTCACTGTTTACTTGAATGTCACGTAAGCATTTCTAGGTAAATGTACATGCAGTGTGAAGATACAAGCATAATAAAGATCGCTAGCATTAGCATGCTAACACAACAATGCAACGCAAGTTGATTTGGTTTCATGCTGGTGCACAAGGGCGACATCTACTGGATCAAAAAATCGCATGTAAAGCCTTTAACTATCCTTTGCGGAGCGATTGCATCTTAAACATTAACATTTGTAACAGAATTCTGCACAAAAAAATCCATCTTCACAACATTAAAGGTCAAAATCAGCTCTTTCACCAGCAGAGGGCGCTCGTGTTTTATAAAGTTTTTTTTTTTAAATGGCCATTGTAAGGTCGTCAAAAACACTTTTAGAAACAATTTGTTTAAAACAATGCAATCACTGTTATTGGGAGCAGAGCTGACAATTATCATTTGTCAGCTCTGCTCCTCTCTTCTGGTGGAGCAGAGCTAGTCTGGCTCCAGGGGGTGCCCTGGTTTCCTTCTTCCGGGCGAGGTTACTGGGACCCATTTAGAATAATACCTAATGCTGTAAATAAAATGCTGTAATACTTTTCTTTCTTTCACTTTGTGTAGATATGGCTGCTGCAAACTATCATCGGTCTGAGGATCAGTTTCTCTGCTCCATCTGTCTGGATGTGTTCAATGATCCTGTCACCACATCATGTGGACACAACTTCTGCAAAAACTGCCTCACTGAACACTGGAACACCAGCGACCAGTACAATTGTCCATTGTGTAAGAAAGTTTTTAACACCAGACCTGAGCTGCACGTCAACACTTTCATCTCTGAGATGGTTGGTCAGTTTAGAGACAAAGCTCAGCAGGAAGCCAGCAGCAGCAGATCAGAGCTACAAGAGTCCAAACCAGGAGAAGTTCTCTGTGACGGCTGCACTGGAACCAAACTGAAGGCCCTGAAGTCCTGCTTAGACTGTCTGGTCTCCTACTGTGAGACTCACCTGGAGCCTCATCTGACAGCTTCACGTCTAAAAAGACACCAGCTGATCGACCCTGTGGAGAACCTGGAGGACAGGATGTGTACGAAGCACGATAAACCTCTGGAGCTGTTCTGTAAGACCGATCAGACCTGTGTCTGCACACTCTGCTCTGTTTTAGACCACAAGACGCACGAGTTTGTTCCTCTGAAAGAAGAATATGAAGAAAAGAAGGCAAAGCTGGAGGAGACAGAGGCTGAAATTCAGCAGATGATCCAGAAAAGACAACTGAAGATTCAAGAGATCAAACACTCAGTGGACTTCAGTAAGGGCGATGCAGACAGAGAGATGGCAGAAGGTGTTCAAGTCTTCACCGCTCTGAAGGAGTCTGTTGAGAGAGGTAAGGCCGAGTTCATCGACACAATTGAAAAGAAGCTGAAAACAACAGAGAAACAGGCCGAAGCTTTCATCAAAGAGCTGGAGCAGGAAATCTGTGAGCTGATGAAGAGGAGAACTGAGGTGCAGCAGCTCTCATGCTCTGAAGACCACCTCCATCTAATCCAGAGAGTGCCATCCGTGACCGTTACTCCAGTATTTGGTGGGTGGAGTTTCCGGGGTTTGAATCCCTGTCAACTGCTGTACGAGAGGACATTGAAGAAAGCTGTGGCTCAGCTGGAGGAGACTCTCAGTGAAGAGATGAAGAAGTTGGTTCCAGCTGAGCTGAAGAGAGTCCAGCAGTATGCTGTGGATGTAATTCTTGATCCTGATACAGCACATCCTGATCTCATCTTGTCTTATGATGGGAAACAAGTTCATCTTGGTGATGTGAGTAACAAGGTTCCTAACAACCCAAAAAGATTTTCTTACTGTGTCAATATTTTAGGAAAGCAGAGTTTCTCTTCAGGCAGATTTTACTTCGAGGTTCAGGTTAAAGGAAAGACTGAGTGGGATTTAGGAGTGGCCAGAGAGTTCAGTAAAAGGAAGCGAACAATCTCACTGAGTCCTCAGGATGGTTTCTGGTCTATTTGGTTAAGAAAAAGAAATCAGTACGAAGCCTGTACGAACCCTCCAGTCCGTCTCTCTCTGAAGTGTCGTCCTGAGAAGGTGGGGGTGTTTGTGGATTATGAGGAGGGTCTGGTCTCCTTTTATAACGTGGACTCTGCAGCTCCGATCTACTCTTTTACAGACTGCTCCTTCAGGATGAAACTCTTGCCTTACTTCAGTCCTGGTCTGAATGAAGGAGGTAGAAACTCTGCACCTCTTATCATCTCTCCCGTCAGTGTGAAATAATCAAAGACTTCATGTATTGATTCTCATCAGAGTACATACCATCCTATTTAGTGACAACACGGTATATCTGACATCTTTGACAGAATCAGATCATCGTGTTTGTTGATTGACTTTATATTTCAGAGGTTTGTCCTCGTAAACACAGCAGGGAACAAATTGATTTGATTGACTCAGCTCATCATCGAGATGCATCATTTATGAGATAATGTTTATTTTAACCCTTTAAACTTTACTGACTTCCAACTTCAGATCGAGAGGAAAAAACTGCGCAAGACAATAATTATTTAAAGCTAAATTTGAATAGATACATATAAATAAATTCTTGTGTTTTTTCTATGATAATTTAAAGTTAGTAGGAAAGTGAAGAAGTTCTAATTTGATATTTTATAGAAACTTGTTTGAAGTTTATATTTGTCTGAAATGTCTTTGGTGTCTCTTGGACCGAGTTCTGCTGTATGTATGATAGTGTTGATAAAAAGTCAAAGAAATCTATAAATATGTGATTTTGAAACAAAAACTTCTAAATAAACTCATTGTTAAAGACGAGGTCTGAGTAAGTACTGATTGACACGTATGACCCAGAACGTCCACCAGATACGTGTGCTTTGTGTGTTCACTCCCTCATCTGTCAACACCCACAGGCTGAGTTCTCAGAGCGCAGCACGGAGCAGCACCGCGGGACAGCTGGAGTCACTAGACCACGGAGTTCCCACAGTAATTACAGAATCAAGCGCAACATTGAGAGATAACACGATGTATGAGGTATAAAACCGTTATGAACATATCAACAAACACACAGAAGGTCATTGTTCTGAACTAGTGATGTTAATGATTAATCATCTATCAATTAATCTCCGTTAACAATTTAACCGATTAGAAATGTATTCACTGACAATCTGTTTACAGTTTAACCGGCAGTCACATGTAATACCAATTCATACCAAAAGAGGGCGCCCGTCACATTTACAACCCAGAAAAACTGCTGTTATCACTACTAAAGGAAGAAGAGGTGCTGTGAAAAGTGAGGAGAAATTTAAGTGGTCAGCAGAGAGAGTGTTTTCTGCAGCTGGACTTGTTGTGAATAGACTGAGCACACGACTCAGCCCTGGTCACTTACAGCTGCTCGTCTTTGTAAATAAATAAAAAACGACTAAACCGTAAATATATTTTGGTGAGTAGAGTATTTAATGTGCTCACTACTCATGACTGAATGTGTGAAAATATTAATTTGCCTACAAAGCAGAATAAGTAAGTGTATTGGAAAGATGCTTAAATGGTTTTATTTCACTTTTATGCAGAACTTTATGTTGGTTTTAAAAAGGAGTTTAATAACCCAATCAGGTTACAGAGTAAACCAACGCACTGAAACTGCTCTTGTTAAAGTAATCAATGACCTGAAAATAAACCGTGATGCAAACAAACCCTCCAGTTTAGTATTGTTAGATCTCAGTTCCGCCTTCGATACAGTTGACCATGAAATTCTGCTAAACACACTGGAAAATGACATTGGCCTTTCGGGACCTTTTCTTCAATGGTTCTCCTCCTATTAACATTCTCAGTCTCACTTGGCAACTTCAGATCTGATCATTTCAGCATTCACTATGGGGTTCCACAAGGTTTAGTTCTCGGCCCACTACTATTTAGTATTTACATGCTCCCTCTTGGTTCTATCATACAGAAACACAATATCTCCTATCATTCCTTTGCCGATTATATGCAGCTTTATGTTTCACTTTCCCCAGATAACCATAGTCCCATAAATGAAATGGTCAAATGCATTGAAGAAATTAGCTGCTGGATATCACAACATTTTCTACAACTTAAAAAGAAAAGATGAAACTGAAATTTTGATCGTAGGCCCACAAAGACAAAAGCAAGAGCTCATATCCATTTCACCATCTTTTCCTCTTCAGTACAGTGATCATGTAAAAAACCTAGGTGTCATCATTGATTTAAATCTGAACTTTCAGAACCACATTACAGCTATTACAAAGACAGCCTTCTATCATCTAAGGAACATTTACAAACTCGGGTGTTTCATGACCCAATCTGACTCTGAGAAGCTGGTCCATGCATTCATATCCAGCAGATTAGATTACTGTAATGTCCTCTATGCTGGACTGAAAAATCAATAAACAAACTCCAACTCCTCCAAAACGCTGCAGCCAGAGTGCTAACTGGGACAAAGGAAATAGAACACATCACACCGATTCTAAAAAATGTTCCTTAGCTTCCAGGTCACGACAGAATCAAATTCAAAATATTACTTCTGGTTTACAAAGCATTAAAGGGGCTATATGTAACTTTTTACATGTATAAATCATTTTTATCGCCCATTTATAAGCAAACAGTTAACTGATGTGAAAAAGTAGATGTTCACTCTCTATCTGGGTTGCCTGTATAAAAAGTTTCCCCGGGTCGTATTTTCCACGAAAGCTCCAGGAAGTGACATTTTATGCACGTTCTCGATGTCCTCCACACTCCGCTCCGCTTACAGAGATCAACAGTACAAACTCATCACACACTCCCGGTCTTCACCTCCACAGCCAGAGGCCGCCTTCCACACACTTCAATCCACCCCAAGAGCTCTCAAAGGCAGACAAACTCATCACACACTCCTGCTCTCATCCAGTGCCTGCAGAGACTGTTGTTTGTAGGATGGAGAATGAATACAGACACACAGACCACTTACCTCCTCTGTAAACATTATGTCGGTAAATATCCAGTGTTTCGTGGCCGATGGATGATGCTTGTTTCTGTACGTACGAGCACGTATGATGAGCACACGAGGGAGAGCGAGCAACAGGTTACTGGTGCAGTTCGCCTAATGGCCATGCGGTGTCGCTACAGACGCAGAATTTTTGAAAGTTACATGTAGCCCCTTTAAATGGAATTGCACCTCAATATCCTCCTGACCTTCTCACTGACTACAGCCCAATCAGATCCCTCAGATCAGCAGGTATGGGTCTGCGGAATTTACCTAAAGTCAAGACGAAATCTGATGAAGGTGTATTTAGTAACCATGATGCAGTTTAGTGGAACAAACTACCCACTGACCTGAGGTCTGTAGAAACTTGAAGTTCTTTTAAGAGCGGTCTTAAAACATTGCTTTTCTCTCGTGCCTTCAGTTGCTAGTTTGTTTGTGTGTATATACATTTGTAGGTTGGTGTAGGGACCCTTTATGCACTGTATAGGAACAGGTATATGTAGGTGTGTGTTGTATGGAATGGTGCATGCTTCTTTTATAAATGTGTTTTGGATTCAAAGGGAGCTTTTAAATCCATTTGTGCATGTTTGGTTTTAAATGCGTTTATATTGTGTTTGTTTATCTTTGTCGTCTGTAAAGCACAATGAATTTACATTTGTATAAAATGTGCTATTAAAATGAAATCGAATTGACCTCATTATTTTGAACATAAAATGAACACCTGGTATTTCAGTGTCTGTCTGAAGAACGACTGGGTTTCTAAATACAGAAAATTATTTAATTCTGAACAATTCCAGAAACCACACAGGCCTGGTGGTGTCAGACCACTCCTACAGGACTCTCCTGCTACACTGCTGCAGAAACAACAGGTCTCCATGTAGACCTGTGACTGCTGCTATGACACACAACGACCACTAGATGTAGCCCAACATGAAGATACAAGAAGTGATCAGTTCTGTTCTGCTGCCACAACAAGCACCAAACTCTCCTAATACATGAGAGTGACTGTAATAAATGAACTCAAGCAACCTATCTTATTCACAAAGACGATACGACGACTTTAATGAGACTCTTCTTCTCAGATCAGATCAGATCAGTCTATTGAAGCTGGTATTTCACAACAGCCCTGTGACTCAGAGGGAAGAAACAAGCTGCAGTTAGAGGCGGAGCCACAGTTGAGGGAGGAGAGCTTCAGCGTCACTCTGAAGAAATGAAACTTAAAGTTTGTCAGGGTGTCGGCTACGCAGCCGTCCAGAAAGGTCTCCGTTTCTCTTCAAAGAAATTAAACTAACTTCATCCAATCTTTGTCAACGACACAGCAGAGTCTCTGCAAACACAGGTGAGTACAGCTGATCATGTTTACACTTTGAACAACCAGGATTTACACTCAACTCTTCATTTCATTCTCTCTTCATACTCAAGCTTTTTAAACTCTGTGTGTGTGTGTCTGTATGTGTGTGAGTGTGTGCGTGCCTTGAACTGAGTTTCTCTCATGTGGACTTTGGACATTTCTAACTTCCTGGAATTGTTGTTGTTCACTGATAACATCCTGCAGCCAAACTGAATTCTATTTCCTCTGACTGTTTCACAGTAAAAGCCTTGACATGGAGAAACCACAATGGAGGCTTTTAATTTGAAGGAAGCAGAGAAGGAATTGAAATTTGTTTTCATTCAAGCCAGCAAAGATTTGTAAGCAGTAAAATTCTGCACAAAAAAATCCATCTTCACAACATTAAAGGTCAAAATCAGCTCTTTCACCAGCAGAGGGCGCTCGTGTTTTATAAAGTGTTTTTTTTTTTAAATGGCCATTGTAAGGTCGTCAAAAACACTTTTAGAAACAATTTGTTTAAAACAATGCAATCACTGTTATTGGGAGCAGAGCTGACAATTATCATTTGTCAGCTCTGCTCCTCTCTTCTGGTGGAGCAGAGCTAGTCTGGCTCCAGGGGGTGCCCTGGTTTCCTTCTTCCGGGCGAGGTTACTGGGACCCATTTAGAATAATACCTAATGCTGTAAATAAAATGCTGTAATACTTTTCTTTCTTTCACTTTGTGTAGATATGGCTGCTGCAAACTATCATCGGTCTGAGGATCAGTTTCTCTGCTCCATCTGTCTGGATGTGTTCAATGATCCTGTCACCACATCATGTGGACACAACTTCTGCAAAAACTGCCTCACTGAACACTGGAACACCAGCGACCAGTACAATTGTCCATTGTGTAAGAAAGTTTTTAACACCAGACCTGAGCTGCACGTCAACACTTTCATCTCTGAGATGGTTGGTCAGTTTAGAGACAAAGCTCAGCAGGAAGCCAGCAGCAGCAGATCAGAGCTACAAGAGTCCAAACCAGGAGAAGTTCTCTGTGACGGCTGCACTGGAACCAAACTGAAGGCCCTGAAGTCCTGCTTAGACTGTCTGGTCTCCTATTGTGAGACTCACCTGGAGCCTCATCTGACAGCTCCACGTCTGAAAAGACACCAGCTGATTGACCCTGTGGAGAACCTGGAGGACAGGATGTGTACGAAGCACGATAAACCTCTGGAGCTATTCTGTAAGACCGATCAGACCTGTGTCTGCATGCTCTGCTCTGTTTTAGACCACCAGACACACAAGTTTGTTCCTCTGAAAGAAGAATATGAAGAAAAGAAGGCAAAGCTGGAGGAGACAGAGGCTGAAATTCAGCAGATGATCCAGAAAAGACAACTGAAGATTCAAGAGATCAAACACTCAGTGGACCTCAGTAAGGACGATGCAGACAGAGAGATGGCAGAAGGTGTTCGAGTCTTCACCGCTCTGAAGGAGTCTGTTGAGAGAGGCCAGGTCGAGCTCATCGACACAATCCGAAAGAAGCAGAAAACAACAGAGAAACAGGCCGAAGCTTTCATCAAAGAGCTGGAGCAGGAAATCTGTGAGCTGATGAAGAGGAGCACTGATGTACGGCAGCTCTCACGCTCTGAAGACCACCTCCATCTAATCCAGAGAGTCCAGTCTGTTAACTCTGCTCCACCCACCAAAGACTGGACAGAGGTTAATGTCTGTAAACCACTTCATGAGGAGACTGTGAGGAAAGCTGTGGCTCAGGTGGAGGAGACTCTCAGTGAAGAGATGAAGAAGTTGGTGGTTCCAGCTGAGCTGAAGAGAGTCCAGCAGTATGCTGTGGATGTAACTCTTGATCCTGATACAGCAAAACCATATCTCATCCTGTCTGATGATGGGAAACATGTTCATCATGGTGATGTGAAGAATCTACCAAACAACCCATACTCTTCCTTTCCTTATGTTTTAGGAAAGCAGAGTTTCTCTTCAGGCAGATTTTACTTCGAGGTTCAGGTTAAAGGAAAGACTAGTTGGGATTTAGGAGTGGCCAGAAAGTTGAGTAAAAGGAAGGGAAGAATCACAGTGCTTCTTCAAACAGATTTCTGGACTATACGTTTAAAAAATGGAAATGAGTACGAAACTCGTGAAGCTCGTCTCTCTCTGAAGTGTCGGCCTCAGAAGGTGGGGGTGTTTGTGGATTATGAGGAGGGTCTGGTCTCCTTTTATGACGTTGGTGCTGCAGCTCTGATCTACTCCTTTACAGACTGCTCCTTTAGGAGGAAACTCTTCCCTTACTTTAGTCCTGGTCTGAATGAAGGAGATAAAAACTCTGCACCTCTGATCATCTGTCCTGTCAGAGTTACCGTAAAATCTGGAATATAAGTCGCACTGGTATACAAGACTGTTTTGAAGGTCTCTTAAAAGAGAAAAAAAAGTTTAAACTGTTTTCTTGTGTGACGATTTATATTGGGTTCATGTCTACAACGTGCAGTTTCTGTGCAGCTGTGTCATTCTTTTAGTTCCGTCTGTTTTCACGTTCACGTAAGCTGTGAGGCACAGACTCCTAGCTTGCGAGTCGCGCTGCCCGACTCGGCTCGTCACTCTTTAACTTTAATATAGGACTCTTTCAATCAAATGAGCACTCCACAAGGTTTATTTACGGAACAATATACCACTGTTTCTGTAACTGTAGATTATCACCTCGTGAGGGAGAAAAGATGTGGAAAAAGTTGCGCAGCCAGCCTGGTCTGTTTTGCAGAAGGTGTTCACTGTGATTGATTTAAAGTTTACCCATTACACAGAGCTGCCAAGTGTCACGCTTTGACGGTGAGTCAGGCAGTTGAGCATCTTCACACGGTCATAAGCTAACCGTCCTATTTCACACGGTGAGAATCAAAAATTGCCCCTTTTTACATTTTTCCTCCTTTAATTTATTTCCTTACTTGCCGCTTGCCACACTCGGGGACCTATTCTGCCTGTGACTGGCTTACTCAGAAACAATCATCATCAGTCCTCATGCCTAAATCTAACCAACCAATCAGAGGCAGACTGTCTAACTTTCAAAAACTTGTTAATTGGCAATGTTTTGGTCCCTTCTAACGGCCAGACAAGGGAAGAAGCCAATCACAGTGTAGGATTTTTGGGGTGGCCAATCAGATTTTAAGGGTGACCCATGTCACCCCTGGCCACCCGTCTGGGCACGCCGCTGCCCAGAACCAATCAGTCCTTATGCCTAAATCAAACCAACCCAACGAAAGGCAACAAGTACCAACTAATCAGAGGCAGAGTAGGGCGGGTCATGCGGTCCATAGCAGCAACGATCCAGAGGAACCTAAGAGACGAGTGCTCAGGAGCTTCCAGGAAGACACCTGGTTAGTAACTTAAATGGTACATGAAAATTTAGCAAAGGGCTTTAAGCAAACATGAACCACATCACCACAGTCTCATCTTAATGTGTACTTTGTGTATTCATTGTAGTCACTAATTTACTGATCACTGACATTGTTTGAACTACATCCTGAATCCTAGGAGGCTGGAGGAGAAACTCCAGGTGAAAGTCCTACATATATCTATTTTAAGTTTGTTTGTGTGCGTGTGCATGTATATAAAAAGTAAAATAATATATTAGTGTGTCATACAGAATACAGATTATTCTGATTTCTGTGATTCCTGATCAGTGTTGATAAATCTTTGTCTTTTATATTCTGATTAAAAAAAAGTATTTTCAATCAATAATAATGTGGTTCTTTTCAAATAAAAAAACTATCTTTTTGCACCATCATGTACAGAGATATTTCTTTAACTTCATTTAAATACATTCAATATCGATTCATGTCAACGGGGAATAAAAACAAAGACTGAAGTTTGATTTCATGACAACACTATCCACACTTCCTCGTCGCTGAGGTGGAGGTCGGAGTTGGCCGTGCATGAATTAAGATGGCGGTGGTTGTGGCAGCGACACAGTCCGATGGTGGTGGCTGGTCGCCAGGCGGTGGTTGTGGGACAACACAGTCCGATGGTGGTGGGGAGGAGGCCTGAACGGGAAAACTGGCTATAAACAGGGGAGGGGGGTGGGGGGGCTGGAGCTGACAGAGAAAATTAAACAGCTTTGTTTGTGAAGGAGACAACAGGCTTGTGAACAAGTGAGACTATCGAGGGTGTGGTTGGCAGTCAGACAGTAGGGAAACACTCACAGGCAGGAAGCAAAATAGGTCAAGACCAAGCGGCAACCTCCGGTCTCGAAATATGAAGCCAATGCCGAAGTACAAAAAACTGCAGTTCCTCGAGGTTCTGCTTGAGGCTGGCTGCAGAAGCGTCGGAAGTGCCATAAGCCCACAGCCAAAAAAGCCAGTTTGTACCACGGGAATGAACATGTTTACAGCCTGGTTCAAAAAACAAAATATATCAGTCATATATCAGTTAGTGACCTCGTGCTCCCACTGTGAAGGGGGTGAATTTTGACACTCGATGTAACAGTTTGTCAGGAGACTTAAAACCCGCTCCAGCTCTCAGCCTGTGGGTGACATCACTCAGGCCATTCGGGGGAGACCTCCCTCGCAGCGAGTTGTTGAAGAAGAGAAGCAACCGAAGTCCACCCCCAGAAGAACCAACAAATGCAGATGTTGTTGAGGCTCAGGTTTCTTCCTCTGTCTCTGCAGCGCTCTGGGCACCTTGACAGAGAAGTCACGAATAATCCACACTGTGTCTATAGGAGAAATACAACGGTGTTCAATTAATGCCTCAGACAAGACAAAATGTACAGTTAACTACATGTGACAGCTCAGGGTGTTTTTTTTATTATTAGCCACATCTGCAGGGATAATATTGAACAAGGTAGCTGCAACTCATAATAATAGATGCCAGTCTTAAACACTATTTTTTCAAATACTTAAAGTTTTTGGTGTGCAGCTGACACTTGGCATTCTTCTGACTTCACAGGGTTCTATAGAAAACAAATATCTTATGATAAATACAAAATATTAATTTTCAATTATAATGTTCGCCCACATCGCTGTTGACATCAGTAAATATAAGACAGACATTCCTCTTTTTGTCAGAACAGTAACAACCATGAACTGCATGCATTATAATATTGATTTCTTCTGGATGTTTCACGTATTTATTTACAGTCTATGGTCTAACAGTAGTTTTATCAACAACAACAAAACTAAAAAAAGACGCCAAAGCTCTGTCTTTTATCGTTTTAAAACAGACTTCTTATCCTTAAACATGTTCTTACACCCAAGTAATTATTTGTAACACAATGTGAGAATTAAAATGTTTCTTACATTTTATGATAAAACTTTGCTCTGCTAACACTGACAAAGTCTAGTAACTGCTCTGACAAATAACTAATAACCATAATTGTATATTTAAAAAAGTTTAGTTTTTAAGACTTTAATTAAATATTTGGGTTGAATATAATTCGTTTTAACTGTGTTGTAGAAAAGTTAAATATTAACTTACCTGTTTATAGGTATCTCAGGACAAGCAGGAAAGCCGTAAGGGATGATAGCAGCCGTAGCCGTTAGCTATGCTGTCAAGTGGACTGCAAATTAATATGGATGCGGCCGTCGATTAGACTCATTTGCTGCCTACGTAACAGACGGATCAGAGTTTGTCCAGTAATGTTTACAGTCTATGGTCAAGACACACAGGAGATAAGAACTACAAAATAATAGCTGTCAGTAATGGTGTTACATCTGTTGTGAAAAAGAGAGGCAGACAGGTAAGAGTTGAATTATGAAGTCGATGTAAAAGTGCAAAAGTGCAAAATTATTTTAGTGCATGTGTAAAATCTGCTTATGACTCTTGCACTCTTACTTTGACATTTTAACCTGTTTTCAAATTATTTTGAAAATCCCATCAGGATGCAGTGTGTGGTGACATAATGACGTAGAGATGCTGACCTAACAGTGCTGCAGCTGCTGATGCTGAGGAGAGAGCATCCTCCGCAGCAGGTTTCCCCTCAGAGAGGCCCTGTGTTTTTATAGACGTGATGTTAGAAATAAGAGTAGTATTAACATCATATTAGAAATCATTACCGTGAGTTCAGACGGCTCCCGGTGACTCCCTGAGCTCTGCGATGGTGGATTTATTATCCGGGAGTGGTGCAGTGTCGCCCGGGCACGCCAGACAGGGACAGGGCTGTGGGAATAAGAATAAGTCACGAACGAGAAGAGGCAAACGAGGCCGAAGGAGAAGGAACAAAAAGAACAACTGGAACAACAAAACACCGCCACCGTATTTCCCACCGGAGGTAGCTTCCTTTAGCCCGGGGATTAACGGGACTACAACATGAACTAGCTTCAGGCTAATGACTGTAACACTAAGTACACGAAGGGGAAATAGTGTTATATTGAGTTCGACTTTCAAAGCCCGCACCGCCACTGCCCCTGTTTCCTGCTCCAGTGAATACGTCACACCAAACCGCACTCAATACTTTCGCAATTTAACACACTTCTGTCTAGATTCATATGATACAGACGCATTAGTTGTTAACAGAATACATTTTCTGCAAGAAGAAAGGCCGATAATTAATTCGGCATAAGAATCTACAAAAAGAAATGTATTGCCTTACCACTTTAGCTTCCATCTTTCACGATCTTTCTTAAACGGTGCACTGCGGAAGAGAACTAGAATAAAAGTGGAAATAATCGCCGAAAATGATCCAAAATGTATTTTAAATGTATGCCGAATTGAAAAATGTATCCTAAGGACTCATGATAATGCAAAAATATTTACCATTGTGTTCAATTAAACGTTTCAAATTTTACTTTAAATTGCAGGAATAGTTGATGAAGTTTGGTCGATGTCCTCTCGGTTGAAATGGGCGGGACATGTGGAGCTGGTTTGCTAGTAGAGTTAGCTAAAACTTAAACTCTGTCTTACCAAAATCTTATCTTAAATTATGTCTTTCAAATTTGAAGAAAATAACACATTAACTTACCCCAATGCAATATCTGTTTACCTTATTGAGGCTACATTTTCCTTCAGTGACTTTAAGTGACAAACTTAGGTCAGCGTTTATGCGTGCGACTCTTGGCAGTGCAATAAGAGCGAGAGTGCTGCCAGATCTCGCGAGATAAACAAGCAACCAGCTCTATGGAAACAAGCCCAAAACAGGCGACCTGGCTCCTCAAATAAATAAAATGAAGCCAAACAGGTTACCTAACCTACCACATAGTTTAAAAGAGAGGTCACATATATATATATATATATATATATATACATACATATATATATATATATATATATATATATATATATATATATATGATGTGTGTGTGTTTGTCTTGTCTCATTTTTCTTGAGTGAAGCTGTGACGCGCTGTCGCCATAAATGACTTCCAGATCCAAGATACTTTAGTCATTTATTGTTCCAAAACAAAACAAGATACTACAAACGCTGATTTGGATTTTTCGGATAATCAAATAAATTTGCGATCGCAGTGCAGTATAGTGTTGTGGTCAACAGAAATTGTCTCTTCCCACGCTCACCCCCTCTCTCTCCATCCAAGCCAAAAACCAGGTGAACAGGCGAGTGCGGCCCATATAATCACTGCCATCACCACAAGACCTCCGGTGAACACACCGACCACCAGCAACAAGCAGACCGCAAACAACAAACAAATCAGCAAACAACCCATGACACCAAACACACAATCAACTCACATTTATGGCTCCTACATTCTGGCCCCTAATTATTATGACACAATAATTATCTAACATTTAATTATATAGGAGACAGATGAGAAACCTTTAAAGATACAGTTAGTTTTTAGAAAACGTTCCCCTTTTTTTTCCCTTCTTAAAAAATACAACGAGAGAAGTTCAAAAGTTCCTTAATCCAAAAAGAGTGATCTTTACATCACGCAGTCAAGTTAAAAAATGTCAATGTCTTGGTAAGTGTCAATGTCAAGGTCTATGAAGATCAATGGTCAGCATGCTCTCATGGCTCCTCTGCTTCCAGGAGAAGGCAAACCTTGGTGACAGGCCTGTCAAGGTAGTTGGTCCTGGTCTTGATCCTCACCTGACGTACTCTTTTATCTGGAATAGTTTGAGTAATCCTTCCAGTAACCCAGGAGTTACGTGGTGCTGTGTCATCAACGATTAGCACAATATCTCCAAGACTAAGGTTGCGTTTAACTCTCAACCATTTCTGACGCTCCTGAAGAAGAGGCAGGTACTCTTTGATCTAACATTTCCAAAACAAGTCAGCCATGTACTGCACTTGTTTCCATCTGCACCGGGCATAAAGGTCTTCCTTTTGAAACTGTCCTGGTGGTAGAAAAGGCTTGGTCTTTAGCAGCAGAAGATGGTTTGGAGTGAGGGCCTCCAAATCATTGGGATCAGTGGATGCTCTGGTGATCGGACGGCTGTTGATAACAGCTTCTGCTTCACAGAGAACAGTATGAAGGCCCTCCTCGTCAAGGTTCTGCACCTTAAGGCTGGAATTCAAGATCTTCCTCACAGACCTTATCAATCTCTCCCATACTCTTCCATGATGTGATCCAGTAGGGGGATTGAAAGTCCACTTTATTCCTTTTTGAAGGAGGGTGTTATTTATTAGGTCATGATTCCATTTTTCAATTGCCTCCCGCAATTCACGCTCAGCCCCAACAAAGTTTGTTCCATTGTCTGACCTCATTTCCAACACTTGACCGCATCTTGCTACGAAGCGTCGGAGGGCATGAATAAAGGAATCTGTGTCCAAAGATGAAGCT